CAGCCTGGCCAAAATGGTGAAACACAGTCTGTACTAAAAATACAAACAAAACAAAACAAAAATTAGCTGGGCATGGTGCCGGGCGCCTGTAATCCCAGCTACTCAGGAGGCTGAGGCAGAGAATTGCTTGAACCGAGAGGCAGAGGTTGCAGTGAGCCCAGATCGCCCGACTGCACTCCAGCCTGGGTGACAGAGTGAGACTCCATCTAAAAGAAAAAAAAAAAAAATTAGCGGCACACAATAGGGCATGCCTATAGTCCTAGCTCCTTGGGAGGCTGAGGTGGGAGGATCACTTGAGCCCAGGTGTTTGAGACCATCTTGGGCAACACAGGGAGACTCTCTCTCCACTATAAATAAAAATTTTGGCTGGGCATGGTGGCTCATGCCTGTAATTTCAGCACTTTCGAAGACTGACGCAGGTGGGTCACTTGAGGCCAGGAGTTCGAGACCAGCCTGGCCAACATGGCAAAGCCTCATCTCTACTAAAAATACAAAAAATTAGCCAGGTGTGGTGGTGCGTGAGCCTGTAGTCACAGCTACTCAGGAGACTGAGGAAGGAGAATCGCTTAAAACCAGGAGATGGAGGTTGCAGTGAGCTGAAATCGCACAATTGCACTCCATCTGGGCAATAAAGCAAGATTCCATCTCAAAAAAAAAAGTATTATTGTTATATCGATTGTGTTGTGTTTGGTTATGGACTATTTTAATTCCATGAGTAAGTTTGGGCTGTTCTAATTCCATCATTCCTTTAAAAATCAAAATTCTCTCTGTAGAAGAAATAAGATACAAATGCAATATAAAAGAGGTTAAGGAAAAACGCTATAGTCCAGAATTTGGATTTTAAATATTAATATGAGCTCATGAGGTATTTTCATCTTTAAAACTATAATTTTGAGTTCTAGCCAATATAAAAGTCAAGAAACAATGAACAACCCAGTAGGGAAAAGCATGCTCCTTCTTTTTTTTTTTTTTTTTTTTTTTTGAGATGGAGTTTCGCTCTTGTTACCCAGGCTGGAGTGCAATGGCGTGATCTCGGCTCACTGCAACCTCCGCCTCCTGGGTTCAGGCAATTCTCCTGCCTCAGCCTCCTGAGTAGCTGGGATTACAGGCACGCACCACCATGCCCAGCTAATGTTTTTTGTATTTTTAGTAGAGACGGGGTTTCACCATGTTGACCAGGATGGTCTCGATCTCTTGACCTTATGATCCACCCGCCTCGGCCTCCCAAAGTGCTGGGATTACAGGCTTGAGCCACCGTGCCCGGCCAGCATGCTCCTACTTAGATCACAGTCTTGCAGACCATTTCATGGAAATAAATCAGAGCAAGGCCAGGCGTGGGGGTTCACATGTATCATCTCAGCATTTTGGGAGCCCAGGGTGAGAGGATTGATTGAAGCCAGAAGTTTGAGACCACCCTGGCCAACACCGTGAGACTCTATCTCATTTTATAAATAAATAAATCAGAGCATCCTTGAGAAATGGCTAGTTCCAGATCTGGGGCAGGAAATGTACAAGATAAGCTTGGAACATCTTGACATACCAGAAAGCAAGGACACTATCAAAGACCACTCAGGTTATGGCAAAAGGACCCAAAGACGCCCATGCTGGCCAGAGACCAGACCATTTGAGTTTCAGGAAAAATAAGAATTGCAGTGAATTAAAACCCAACAAGTAGGCCGGGCAGGGTGGCTCACACCTGTAATCCCAGTACTTTGGAAAGCCGAGGCAGGAGGAGTGCTGGAGTCCAGGAGTTTGACATCACAATGGACTGTCATCCTGCCAACTGCGCTCCGGCTGGGGAAACAGAGTGAGACCGTCTCCGAAAACAAAAAACAACCAACAGCTATACTTAAATAAATAAATTCACAATAATGTATGTTTCTATTTATTTATTTGGAGGCCGAGTCTCACTCTGTCGCCCAGGCTGGAGTTCAGTGGTATGATCTTGGCTCACCGCAACCTCTGCCTCACAGGTTCAAGCAGGTCTCCTCCCGAGCAGATGGAATTACAGGCACAAGCCACCACGCCTGGCTAATTTTTGTATTTTAGCAGAGACAGGGTTTCATCGTGTTGGTCACTGCACTCCAGCCCGGCGACAGAGTGAGATTCTGACTCAAAAAAAACAATAATAAATAAATTATTAGGCCGGGCACGGTGGCTCAAGCCTGTAATCCCAGCACTTTGGGAGGCCGAGGCAGGTGGATCACGAGGTCAAGAGATCAAGACCATCCTGGTCAACATGGTGAAACGCCGTCTCTACTAAAAATACAAAAAATTAGCTGGGCATGGTGGTGTGTGCCTGTAATACCAGCTACTCAGGAGGCTGAGGCAGGAGAATTGCCTGAACCCAGGAGGCGGAGGTTGTGGTGAGCCAAGATCGTGCCATTGCACTCCAGCCTGGGTAACATGAGTGAAACTCCGTCTCAAAAAATAAATAAATAAATAAATTATTTCAGTTTATAGATTTAATAATTAGAACATCACCATTTTGCAACCTCTAATGAACTAATAGATCTAGATACTGGGTCTCAGTAGCTGCCAACATGAAAGAAGAGAGAAAAACAGATATTGTGTGTGGCCTGATGAAACAACAAAATGCCATTTCTAGTTCTGCCAAAGGGATCCCACCTCAATCAAATCAAGCCTCTGGATCCAGGAACAAGTGTCCCTGAGGCTGAAGTATAAGTCAGCATAGGCACTTTGGAAAACTGTTTGATAGTTATGGCTAAATGTTAACACATGTCTACTCTGTGACCCAGCTGTTCCAATCCTAAATACATATCCAAGATTAGGGAAACACACATGCTTCAAAAGACGTGTATGAAAATGTTCATAGTGAAAGAACGAATAAGACCCAGTATTATCACAACAGAATAACTATAGTCAGTAGTAATTTAATTGTACATTTTAAAATAACTAAAAGAGTATAATTGGATTGTTTCTAACACAAAGGATAAACACTTGAGGGATGGAAACCCCATTTTCCGTGACATGATTATTATGCATTGCATGCCTGTATCAAAACATCTCATGGGCCAGGCACCGCAGCACACGCCTGTAATCCCAGCACTTTGGGAGGCCAAGGAGGGCATTTCACTTGAGGTCAGGAGTTTGAGACCAGCCTGGCCAACAGGGTGAAACCCTGTCTCTGCTAAAAATACAAAAATTAGCAGGGCTTGGTGGCAGGCACCTATAGTCCCAGCTACTCGAGAGGCTGAGGCACGAGAATTGCTTGAACCCAAGAGACAGAGGTTGCAGTAAACTGAGATCACATGACTGCACTCCAGCCTGGGTAACAGAGTGAGACTCTGGTGCCAACGAACAAACAAAAACATCATATCGTGTGCCCCACAAATATAATATATACGTCTACTGCGTACCTGCAAAAATTAAAATTCAAGGATCAAAAAAAATTTTTTAACCCTCAAACATCTTCATAGTGGCTTTATTATAAAAACCCAGGGCTGGAAATAACTCAAATGTGTACTCACAGTAAAATGGATAGATAAATAATGGCATAGTCATTTAACGAAACACTACATAACAATGAAAAATGACTGCTACGGCCAGTCACCGTGATTCATGCCTGTAGTCCCAGCACGTTGGGAGACCAAGGCAGGCAGATCAGCAGAGGTCAGGAGTTTGAGACCAGCCTGACCATGATGGAGAAACCCCCATCTCTACTAAAATTACAAAATTAGTGGACGTGATGGCGCATGCCTGCAATCCCAGCTACTCATGAAGCTGAGTCAGGAGAATCGCTTGAACTCGGGAGGCGGAGGTTACTGTGATCCAAGACCGTGCCATTGCACTCCAGGTTGGGCAACAAGAGCAAAACTCCATCTCAAAAAAAATTGATGGCTATATACAACAAGATGAATCTTACAGATATGATGTTGAACAAAAGACACAGACACAAAAAGTAGGGATTGTCTGGTTCCATTTATCTGAAGTCTACAGGCAATGCTAATACGTGGTTACAGAATTCTGAATTGCTCTTAGCTCTGGGTGGGGAGAGTAGATATTGACTGGGAAGAAAATAAGAGAATATTCTCGGGTGCTGGAAATATATATATATATATATATATATATATGCACACACACATATATGTATTTTTTTGAGATAGAGTCTTGTTCTGTCGCCCATGCTGTAGTGCAGTGGCACAATCTCAGTTCACTGCAACCTCTACCTCCCAGTTCAAGTGATTCTCCTGTTTCAACCTCCCCAGTAGCTGGGATTACAGGTGTGCACCAGCACACCTGGCTATTTTTGTAATTTTTTTAGTAGAGACAAGGTTTCACCATATTGGCCAGGCTGGTCTCGAACTCCTGACCTCAGGTGATTCACTCACCTTGGCCTCCCAAGGTGCTGGAATTAGCATGAGCCACTGCGTCCAGCCAGAAATATTCTATATCTTGTTTTGGATGGTGATTACCTCACTGTACATATATATAAAAATTCATTGAACCAAAACTACTGAATGCATGGTCTATTCCCTAAAAAAGTGTAAATAAAAAAGAATGAAGTTACATATAAACTCCTGCAATTTCCAGTCCTTAGTTATCATGCTAATATATCCTGTATATGCATCACACCTGTAATCCCAGCACTTTGAGAAGCTGAGGCAAGTGGATCACGACGTCAGGAGGTCCAGACCAGCCTGGCCAACGTAGTGAAACCCCATCTCGACTGAAAATAGAAAAAAATAGCCCAGCGTGGTGGTGGATGCCTGTAATCCCGGCTACAGGAGGCTGAGGCAGGAGAATGGCTTGAACCCAGGAGGTGCAGGTTACAGTGAGCCTAGACTGTGCCATTGCACTTCAGCCTGGGCGACAGAGCCAGACTCTTTCTCAGGAGCAACAACAAAAAACAAGAGTCTGCAGTTCCCTCCCCAAACGTGTTAGGTGTAACGATTCCATGGCTACCAAACAGCAGCTTCTCCGCTCCTTCTGGGATCCCCCCCTGGTTCGGCCCACCTGCCTTCACTCCCGCCTTCACCATGTCTGTCAGGATGAGCCAGAAGTCCTGCAAAGTGTCCACCTCTGGCCCCTGGGCCTTCAGCAGCTGCTCCTACACAAGTGGGCCCAGTGCCTGCATCAGCTCCTCGAGCTTCTCCTGAGTGGGCAGCAGCAGCTTCCAGGGCGGCCTGGGCGGAGGCTATGGTGGGGCCAGTGGCATGGGAAGCCTCACTGACTTCACAGTCAACCAGAGCCTGAGTCAACCAGAGCTGAGACCCCTTAACATGAGGGTGGACCCCAACATCCAGGCTGTGTGCATCCAGGAGAAGGAGCAGATCAAGATGTTCAACAACAAGCTTGCCCCCTTCATCGACAAGGTGCGGTTCCTGCAGCAGCAGAACAAGATGCTGGAGATCAGGTGGAGCCTCCTGCAGCCACAGAAGACGGCTCGGAGCGACATGGACGACACGTTCGAGAGCTCCATCGACAACAACCTTAGGTAGCAGCGGAGACTCTGGGCCAGGAGAAGCTGCAGCTGGAGGTGCAGCTTGGCAACATGCAGGCGCTGGTGGAGCACTTCAAGAACAAGTATGAAGATGAGGTCAACAAGCTACAGAGATGGAGAATGAATTTGTCCTCATCGAGAAGGATGTGGATGAAGCTGACATGAACAGGGTAGAGCTGGAGTCTCGCCTGGAAGGGCTGACTGACGAGATCAGCTGTATAAAGAGGCGACCGGGAGCTGCAGTCCAGATCTCAGACACATCTGTGGTGCTGTCCATGGACAGCAGCCGCTCCCTGGACATGGACAGCACCATTGTTGGGGTCAAGGTGCAGTAGAGATCGCCAGCTGCAGCCGGGCTGAGGCTGAAAGCACGTACCAGGTCAAGTATGAGGAGCTGCAGACGCTGGGTGGGAAGCAGGGGCATGACCTGCGGTGTTCAAAGACTGAGGTCTCGGAGATGAACCGGAACATCAGCTGGCTCCAGGCTGAGACTGAGGACCTCAAAGGCCAGAGGGCTTCCCCAGAGGCCGCCATCACAGATGCCGAGCAGCGTGGGGAGCTGGTAATTAAGGATGCCAACACCAAGCTGTCCGAGCTGGAGGCTGCCCTGCAGCAGGCCAGGCAGGACAGGGCGAGGCAGCTGTGTGAGTACCAGGAGCTGATGAACGTCAAGCTGGCCCTGGACATCGAGATCGCCACCTACCACAAGCTGCTGGAGGGCGAGGAGAGCTGGCTGGAGTCTGGGATGCAGAACATGAGTATCCACACAAAGACCACCAGTGGCTATGCAGGTGGTCTGAGCTTGGCCTATGGGGGCCTCACAAGCCCTGGCCACAGCTACGGCCTGGGTTCCAGTTTTGGCTCTGGCACAGGCTCCAGCTCCTTCAGCCACACCAGCTCCACCAGGGCCATGGATCTGAAGAAGATCAAGACCTGTGATAGGAAGCTGGCGTCCAAGTCCTCTGAGGTCCTGCCCAAGTGAACAGCTGCAGCAGCCCCCCACAGCCCGCCCCTCACAGCCTGCCACTCCTGCGGCTGCTCCGGAGCCCGGGAGGGAGGTTGCTGTGCAGGGTAGCACAGGGAATGGGAGACCCACTGGAGGCTCAGCCCTGGCCCTCAGCCCACCTGCGGGAGAATTTACTGCCTGGGGACCCCCTTGCCCAGGCCCCCAATTCAATTGCTGTTTTTTTCCTCCAAAATAAAACCTCAGCTAGCTCTGTCAACTGAAAAAAATAATAAATAAAAAAAAATAAAGATTCCATAGCTAACAAATAAACAAAAACAAAACAACACTAAACTTTCTAAGTGAAATATCTAGGCAATGGGAGTCAATAGAAATGGTCATATCTGGGCTGGCCGTGGTGGCTCACACCTGTAATCCCAGCACTTTGAGAGGCTGAGGCAGGCAGATCACTTGAGATCAAGGGTTCAAGAATAGCCTGGCCAACATGGTGAAACCCTGTCTCTAAAAATACAAAAATTAGCTGGGTATGATGGTACACACCTGTAGTCTCAGCTACTCGGGAGGCTGAGGTAGGAGAATCACTTGAACCCAGGAGGTGGACGTTGCAGTGAGCCAAGATCATACCTCTGCACTCTAGCCTGGGTGGCAGAGCAAGACTTTGTCTAAAAAAAAAAAAAAAAAAAACAGCTGGGCATGGTGGCTCACGCCTGTAATCCCAGCACTTTGGGAGGCTGAGGTGGGCGGATCACCTGAGGTCAGGAGTTTGAGACCAGCCAGACCAATATGGTGAAACCCCATCTTAAAAAAAAAAAAGGAGGCCGGGCGTGGTGGCTCAAGCCTGTAATCCCAGCACTTTGGGAGGCCGAGGTGGGTGGATCACAAGGTCAAGAGATCGAGACCATCTTGGTCAACATGGTGAAACCCCATCTCTACTAAAAATACAAAAACATTAGCTGGGCATGGTGGCGCGTGCCTGTAATCCCAGCTACTCAGGAGGCTGAGGCAGGAGAATTGCCTGAACCCAGGAGGCGGAGGTTGCGGTGAGCCGAGATTGCGCCATTGCACTCCAGCCTGGGTAACAAGAGTGAAACTCCGTCTC